TTTAGAGGAAAACAGTGATGTCTTTTGCATTATTAATTCTAGAAGTTTCACTTGTGCCACATAGTCTTTATTCATAGATAGAATTTATCAGTTTGTCATAGGGCAGCGTGGACAAGAGGTCCTAAACATACACATGGAATATCAGAACAACATGCCTGAGAACCTCGAGGTTCCATAAGTCGTAAGATTCACAGCACCTAGTTTGGCAGATTTTTTTTTCAAACAGCCACTATAATTACAACAACAACAACAACAACAAACACAGAAAAAAGAAGCTAGTTTCATGACTGACATTGCTGCTGTTGAAGGCCAAATCATCACAGCTCTCCTCCAAAGGATGTTTGCATTACCTACCAGTGTCTTTTTTAAATGGACAGCTAGCCAGAGGACTGAACTAATGTGTATGCGATTAAACATTCACTACAAGCAACCAAAAAAAGATGGCCTCTTAGTGTCTGTGTAGTACGAAAAAAAAGAAATTTAAAAAAGCCTTGATTATCATTCATACAAATTAAGTCAAAAATATTACTCTGACCTAAATACAGGCTCTGCATGTCTGGGCTATTTTTGGTCCTTTGACATTTGACGATGGGTTTAAATACGTTTTTACAGCATACAGTTGTAAGTCTGGAGAAACTAGAACAAGATCATTTCTTTGTGAATTTGAACTGCCATGTTAAATACAGTTCGGCTGAATTTTAAAATCACACACCAGATGCAAACGAATAAGCACACAAACTTAACAGAACATATCCTGTATTCTTACATTAATTACAGTGAAATGAGAAAACGAACAAGTACAATTGTGACACATAATGCTGGGATAAGTGGTTGAGCTGAGAAAGAAGCACAACAATGATTGAGTTTAAAGACATATAGCATAGCATAAAACCTAGATTGAAAGAGCTAAGGCACTGCTGAGGAACAAAAAGGTGAGAGCAAAGGGGAAACCGATGCAGCACTTAGAGTTATATCTGACCTTTACTAAAAGGAAAGCTAATTGAGAGCAATCTGTAAGGATAAGCACTATTCTAAAGGTTAGCCACAGTGATACGGGCCCGAGAAAGGAATTTCATCTGCTTTGCTAACCTTGGGGTGCAAATGTTCCAAGATGCCGGGCCACTGTTTTTGACCTCTGCAAAGAGGCATTTCAGCAAAGTGAAATGGGCCATTAACAGGTGAAAAGGAGTTGAGAGGGTTCAGAGCTCTTATAGCATTACTGTAGCATAGCTGACTGGAGCTTTACACTGATATTGTTGCTTTTTCCGATGAGAGAGAGGTTTCATTTCCATTTCAATTTCAACAATATCATTTAACTGCCAATCAAACTCGTAATTTGCAACTTTTGAGAAGCACCCCTATAACTGTCAAATTAGAAAATATTCTAGATTGTACAGACTTCCACTGAGCTGCTGTACTGATGGTCTCCATATGGAATAGCTGAAATGGGGATAGGGAGATGAATTTATATAAAACTTGTTGTGATAGATTACTGCTTTAAGGTGGTGTTTACTTTGACGTAGCCCAGTATGGATATCAGATATGCATGAAATTTAGCTGCCACCACTCACTGTCCGAGTAGACAACTGTAGATTCAACAGGAATATCCATCCATCCATCCATTATCTATACACCACTTAATCCTCACTAGGGTCGGGCTGGAGCCTATCCCAGCTGACTTAGGGTGAAGGCAGGGGACATCCTGGACAGGTCACCAGTCTATCACAGGGCTACACTTCGAGACAGACAACCAAGCACACTCACATTCACACCTACGGACAATTTAGAATCACCAATTAACCTCAACATGTTTTTGGACCTTGTGGGAGGAAGCCGGAGAACCCGGAGAGAACCCACGCTGTATGGGGAGAACATGCAAACTCCACGCAGAAAGATTCCGGTGCCCCCACCGGGACGCGAACCGGCAACCTCACTGTCCGAGTAGACAACTGTAAATTCAATAGGAATATCCATCCATCCATCCATCCATTATCTATACACCACTTAATCCGCACTAGGGTCGGGCTGGAGCCTATCCCAGCTGACTTAGGGTGAAGGCAGGGGACACCCTGGACAGGTCGCCAGTCTATCACAGGGCTACACTTAGAGACAGACAACCAAGCACACTCACATTCACACCTACGGACAATTTAGAATCACCAATTAACCTCAACATGTTTTTGGACCGTGTGGGAGGAAGCCGGAGAACCCGGAGAGAACCCACGCCGCACAGGGAGAACATGCAAACTCCACACAGAAAGATCCCAGGTGTCCTCACCGGGACGCAAACCGACGACCTTCTTGCTACAAGGCAACGACGCTAACCACCGAGCCACCTTGCCGCCCTCAATAGAAACACGTTCCATAAACATTATTTATCCCTGCATCATTAAATTGGGCCTCATTTGCAGTGAAAAACCTTTCCTTTCCCTTTTTATGTCCCGGCTATGAAATCCTACCAGCTGAAGAACAAGGTAACTAGGGTTGGGAGTTCTCGGCACGGCCACAGAAGGATCATGAATGGTGTTTAACTGCTCAAGCTGTTGTATGGTTGTTAGTAAAGCAAGTACGCCGTGGAGAACTGCTACAAGAGATAGTCGAGATATAAATGGAGCTGCAAAACCGTCAAGCTATTGGTGCCAGAGGGAAGGACAAACAGGCACTTATTTACGTATGTCTGGACATGCTGGGGAGTCCTTCGGGTTTGTGTTTATTTGCTATGAACACACCTCAATACTGCATTACCTCACTGTGTTGCACTGCATCTGGAAGTTTATTCCTTGAGCCCTTACTTCTAACCTCTGCCTTCACACAACATGGAAACTCTAATACTTATCCCTCATTTTATAGCTTCAAAATTCACTTTGAAGCATTACTGTCATAAATTATTTTTACCTCCCTGATTTACTAAGTTGCATGTAGTCTGACTCAACAGATGTAAACTTCAGATGCAAGCCTGCCATTTCCTCCATGCATTTCACGTGTTTTTCCCTTTACTACAAACTGTATTTTTTCCAGTGAAGACATTTAACCCTCCTGTCATGTTGCAGGTCAAATTGACCCATTTTAAAGTTAAAAAATCTTAAAAGTGTTGAATTTTTTGGTATGAAACTCATCCTGCTTGGCTTAATAACTGTCATCAACACATAAAATAAAAATGGTTCATGTCACATATTTGCAATTTGCATTTGGGGGAGAAGTGGACGGAGCTGGATGGAATGCATCTACATGCATACTTAGGGATCCTCATCCTGGCTGGGGTGTATAAGCCAAAGGATGAATCAACAGTCAGTCTGTGGGATGCAGAGACAGGCAGGGCTATATTTCATGCTACAGTGTCTCTGGAGACTTTTCATGTTTTCTCTACAGTAATCCAATTTGATAATTGAGAGACAAGGACTGTCAGAGACAAGCTGGCAGCTATTAGGACAGCATGTATTACAAGAGGATAGAGACACTCTTGTGTTGCTTTATCACCGTCACTCTATAAATAGAAAACCATTCAAAATGAAGAATTAAACTTAAAACAAAATCATCAATGTCATGTAAAACTAATGTATTTTATATGCATGTCTTTTCAGTGTACATTTAAAAAAAGCTTCAACATGCATTTTTACGTCATTGTTGTTTTATTATTTGTTTGTAACAGCAGCTAATAAATATTTTGTGTGTTATTATCGTCGTTTCTGCCATGTATTTCTTTGTTTGGCAACTGGAGGTCACTGAAATCAGAGTTGACAACTCTCAGACGACCTGACCTGCAGATCTGAATGGGGCCCTGACTGTAAAATTTCAGTTATGAAGTGTAGTTTCCCGTATAAAGTGCTATTATGCCACAGGGCCAAGGATGTGAAATACAGAACCTATGTCTGAAGTTTGAAGTCTCCCTCACCACCACATGGTCTTCTTTTCGTAAATTATGGTGCTCATTTTGAGCAAAATAGCTGATGATGAAGTGTATGTTTGGGGTATGCAGGGCTTTCTTCAGATTGACAGGTTGTACTGCTTGCCAGTTATGTCCAGTATCAAAACACCAGGATGCTAAGGGCCAAACCCAAGGTCAAACCCAATAGGCATTGTCACGATGGCTTCGTCCATCTTTATAGTTTATGGACCGCTCCACATGACTTTGACGCTACGCTTGACAGCAGGCCTGTTGTAGCAGCAGCATTAGTATAGCCTCACTAGGAGATGATGAAGAGTTAAACCCTGTTTGTCATGTGGGAAGGCAACAACAAGTGACTGGTGTGGAGAAAAGCAGGATAGAATTTACCAGCCCAGCAAACACAGCTACAAATAAAAGAGTTCACTTAAATCAATGGTCTTGCAATGAGGAATTGGGTAGCTTGGAGTTAAAGCCGGGCCATAGCTCTAATTTTGTGAGGCTAATAAGGCCTTTGTCCAGACTTACAAGAAGTCAGACATAACCCATTTACCTTTTGTTGCATCTCATTAATACCATTATTTCCATTCCATACAAAGTTTAATTGCTCACCTTCAACTAAAGTTAACCTTGATGTCTGTACAAGAGTACAAACTAAATGTCCTCAGTTTGAATTTTCCTAATTGTGCTCTCCATATGCAGACATTTGGTCCTCATAAAAACAGACATTATCTCACGTACACACACTCATACACACAGCCACCTGCAGGCTTTATCAAAAGCACCTCAACTCAGCAGAAAAACACAATCTCAGGAAAATAATTGGCCTGGCACGCAGATACACAACAAGATGGAAAAGGTGGAAGGAACAGTGAGCCGCTGTCAATCAATCACTGAAAAAAACGTCAGCTGAGTGTAAAGGGCAAAGAAAGCTTGTCAAAATAAGAAAAAAATAAAAAACTATTGCCAGTGGCAAGGTGGCCTGATGTTATCTTAAATATGTAATAAGCTCCGACTTCAGGATCAAGCACGCAGTGTTTAAAGTGTATGCAGGAAAATCTGTATTCTGTGGCAAACTTTCACACATCAAAGCGCTGCATACTGTTGTGAGGCTTACCTGGAACAAAGCTCCCCTGCACCACCTCCTTGTATGCCCACCATCCCTCGTGAATTTTTGGCGGATTTGGCTGTGCTGTGAGGTGAGGAGAGGAGACAGAAATGGGGACATCAGTCACTTCAGACAAAGAGAGCAAAAACTTGGAGCTGCATGTTCAGACGTTCTTCAACTGAAATACATGTTTTACTTTTTTTGTAACCCTCATCCTTTCCAAACATCCAACCAACTTCCTCAGCTTAGCAAATAGAGTCCAGAGACAGCTTAGGAGCAAACAGGCCTCCAAGTGAACTCCTGCTTCAACACACATGTTCACACACACACACTAGCAAACTACCATGTGATGCAATGACTCCCCAGGCATTAGTATGGAAATTCATTCTGTCATGTTGTGTGAGCTATAGAAGAAAGCCCCAGATTACAGCAGGATGGTACAGTATAATTGAGGTGACTCAGTAAAGGTCTCGGTAAAAGAGTAAGTTGTGAGTGAGAATTACCCACTGAGCCTTTAGGATATTGCTTTTTGCGACACGAAAAACCAGGTCTTAATCAAGGGTCCAGAGGTTACTCTGCTTGCTTGTTTTTAATGGAAGCTGAGGTGGCCGAACAACCCTCCTCCCTCCGCTGTCCCCTTTACACAGCCTTGCTGCAGTAACACTGGAGAGCAGGTTCAATTTCCGAGGTGCGGGCCGGCTGGACATGGTCCAGAAAAGGCTATTTTCTCAGAGGGCAATCTCTGCTACCACAGACTAAGAAAGAGGGGGGTGGAGGTGAACACAGTTTAGCCTTCCAAGAAAAAAAAAAAAAAAGGATTCTGGTTGTTGACCTGTTTCTCCATGTGATCAATTGTTTCTTCTTTTTTGATGGTAAACGAATTTGAAGCAAGCACCGCCTTTGATTGGAGGAGGCTGAAATCAGTGCATCGGCAAACCAAGCAGCAGCGTGTCAGACTTTCCAAACCATTAGAGCGAGGCTGGCCCCCTGCCCAGCGCTGCTGGACACTAGCAAAACCTCCACTTATACTGCAACACAAGATCATTAATAATGTTTTTAGACAGAGTGAGTCTTCCTAAAAGGAAAGGAAAACTGAAATGAAAAATCAGAACCACTCCGTGCCGTCACAGTTTTTTTTTTTTTCTAATGCACTGCATATATTGCTGTGCGCCACTGCAGACACAATGGCACTGAACAAATCATTGCGATGCTTTGGAGTCGTCACTATTGCAACTATCATTTACATATGATCTCTCCACAGTCAGATTGCTAGTCGTAGCACTGCTTCTAAAAACCTAATTTGCAGCCTGTGAAAACAAACAGACTTTATGTTACACCTTGAAAAGCAGCATCTTCATCACGCTTTTAAAGAAATTACTCTTGTGAAGCAATAGAGTGGACTTTGAAATAAATGAGACAGAAATGCACAGTTGACCATCAGTCAGTCTTCTGCTGAATCTGAAGGGAACAAACAAAATGTGAAATTATTTATTTACCCTTGCTGTACTTAGGTGTTGGACATTGAAAAATATGGAGGCTACTGGTTACTCAACAACAAAAGCTGTGGGTAGAAATGGTAGAAATGACATGTGCTTGAAAGCAGAAGGGAAAGCGAGGTACACCAAGTTAATGTGCTCTGGCTGTGCACAGCATTTTGGAAGTAAAGTTCAAATCCCCCAAACTGACAACAGGTGATTCCTATTTTTAAGGCACTAGCTAGCTCACACAACATGTTAATTTAACAGTTTAGAAACTGCTTGAAGGATTTTACTTCTCATTTAGTGAACCTAGTTGCACCCTGACACCTCTAGCTGAAGAAAGAAAGACCCCCACTGAGAGGCAGATTCAAACGTAGAACGTTCTGAGGCGGCAATAAAACAAAAGAATATATTTAGATTTTTTGTTTTCTTTTAAGTTGTTCTTTTAAGCTGGTGCTTGTGCACGAGTTGGTTGCTGTCACATGCTCATAGGAGCTTGGAAACAAGCCAACGTTACTTATTGTTAGCATTTAGTTTACGCATTTATTTTGAAAAGTTCTTCTCTAGTGACATTTCAAGTGACACCACTTCACACACTTTACATCCAGGTCCACTCAGCACAACAACTCAAACAGAGATGTAACTTTTTTTGCATCCAAATGATGTCTCTAGACTGGGGGAAGAAACCAGAACATCTGCTGGCATAGTGAGAACACAGAACTCTGGCAGATTCAAACCCAGAACATTATGTAAGGTAACAATAACAGCCACTGTACTGCTCTGCCACACTTCAACAAACATAAAACTTCTTTTTTTTTTAACCTGATATTTTTCCAGGTAAAAATTCCAGCTAGTTTGACCCATGATATATACATGTGTGTAAATGTGCGAGGATCTAGTGTGAATAATCGAATTCAACACATTTATTACATTAAAACATTATAAGACATCTTTTCACCTGTGACATATTCGTCCTTATTGTACAGTTTTGACATTTTTATACGAGGATATCCAATAGCAGCACAAAACTGAGATATTTTCTGGTGTTTCAACTGGGTAGACAATATACATATATGAAGCTTTATAAGCACTCTCCTTGCTGTAGCATGCTGACCAGCTCTTAGTTAAATTATTTTGTTTCATTTTAGCATATTTGGAGTGTTGTGTTCATTGTGGGATATCATTTAGGTATTTATTGGGTTTACTTAACAAACTGCTGTATCACATCACTGTATATTGTTATTTCCCCCAAAGCTGGTTGTACATAATTGTAGAATGATGCAGCTTTGTTCCGATCCAACAATGTTAATTTAATTTGAAGAGAGGGACACCTAACAAAGACTAACATACCATACTGTTCAGCTCTTGGTAAGATTTTTTTTAAAAAATGAAAAACAAAAGAAAATGTCAGTGCTTAGGTTTCTTCTTTTCAGACAATAGAAATTTTCGGAGATGGTTCTTCACCTGACATGTTTCGACTGGCACTTCAGTCTTCCTCAGAGGCGTCAGCTGATTGCCGTGACGTGTCATTTATTTGGTGTTCCTTATGGGCGTGGCCAATCTGACAGATCTGTCAGTTCTGTCAGATTGGCCACGCCCCCCACCCGTGCCTGCAGGAGGGAGTCCCAGGTGTGTGACAGCATGAAGGTGCCTTCATCCCGGTTGATCGTCGTTGTTCCCCGTCTTCTGATCTCGATGGCCTCCTTGATTAACCTTTTATGTTTATTGCTTTAATGCTATGATTCTTGTGTTGTACCAGTCCATGATGTGGTTCTGTCGTTTGCAGTGGTCTGATATTGCCGATTTGTAGTTTTCCTGTTCGGCTTTCTGTTTTTCTGTTTTTCTGTTCTTGTGAGACGTCCTGTTGTGACCTTTTCACACTCCTTCTGATGTTCCTTTTTTCTGATATTGAAACTCCTTCCTGTTTCCCCAATGTACGTGGATTTGCCAAACACCAAATAAATGACACGTCACGGCGATCAGCTGACGCCTCTGAGGAAGACTGAAGTGTCAGTCGAAACATGTCAGGTAAAGAACCATCTCCTAAAATTTCTATTGTCTGAAAAGAAGAAACCTAAGCACTAATTCAAGAGTAGACAAAATGAACTTGCTAGACGTAAAAGAAAATGTCAGCATTACAACAGAGTGAAAATACAAATACTACATTCCAAAAAATCTTAATTGGAAAAACAAATCATAATACTGTCGTGTGTTTCTCAGATATGCATTCCTGACCAGCTCTGTTGGCCACAGCTTTTCTCTTCTTCTCACTCGTGTGACAAAGCAGCCAGCTGTTGCCACTCTATGTGACACAGTTCTGTTGTTTGTTGCAGACAAATGTTTTTAGTCTTTTTAACGGTAATTTATTGAATACTGCAGCACCTCGCTACACACAGCATGAAACACACAGAGAGATGTTTCACTATGCTGTACACTTACATTTACATATTGCAAACTTTACTGAATAGGAAATATAGAGTTACAGTGGTGCACCACTTTATCAAGCACAAAATGTTTTCATCATGTTCTGTGAGATAAAGGCCCGGCTGTAAAGTAGTAAGTGTTCAGAGAGAACAATACAGTACAGAGGTCCTTGTGTGTTTGTCTACGTGTGTGTGTGTAGTGTGGTGTTTTCGGGGAAGGCAGAGCCTTTGGGATTACTGCTGCTGTAAGTAATAATATAAGGGAGATTTGGAGACCTGTGGACATGATCCCTTTACAAGCTACTGACAATACAGATGTAGTTCTCCGTCTCTCACACGTGTTCACACTGAAACAGACTGTTGACACAGCTGACGACAAAAAAGAGAATAAAACGCTCTTGTTGGATTGATATGCCCCCACCCTGCTCTTATTTCAATTTAATTAGAGTGAATGTGAAACCGTTTTATCGCCATTAGTTTTAGACAAATGACTGCTGAGATACTACAATGACAAATTCTGAGACGTAAATTGAACCTTTCACGATCCCTGTGGGAAAGCAGAGCTGTTACAGCAAGTGAACAGCAGCGCTAATTACTACAACATATGCAGTGTTATGCAGGAACTAGAAACTGAAAATGTTAAAATGTAGAAACTGGCTGTTTATGCAAAATGTGGGATACAAGAAAAACAATGAGTGCAATATAGAATATGACCAGCCAAAAAAGTCACCATTGTTGTTTTACATTGACTATATTCAGGGTTTAGTGGGGATTGTGGTGAATTGTTTGCACTTATACACCAATTTTCCACCACACTCTTAACACTCAAAACTCTTTAGAATGTCTTTTCTCATTCACCTGTTAACAAAGCAGTGGTGATGGAGCTGC